CACATGCACTGTATCACCATACGTGTACCATTTTCAAAGACCCTGCTTAGGATTAAAACTTCTCAGAAGCATAACAATAGTACCAACCTAGAGGTTAACTGGTGTGGATGCATTCCTCTGGGAGTGAGGACTATTGAGAAATTCAGTAGGGAGTTATTTTGCTTCTCCGCATTCTAACACTCCAACTGTTAACACTGTGGAAACACTGACTCATGTTTGGTAAACAATTTCAGGGAAGAAACTATAGACATTGGATTAAATAAATTATTAATTAAATTGCATTAAATAAAAATTATTAGATTTAAATAAATATTATTAGAGTGAAAAATAAAAGAAAGAAATTACCAAATTAGAAAATAAAATTTCGAAAAATAAAACTATATTGCAGATAAGATAAGAGGACCTTATTAAAAAATACATAAACAAACTGTAATTCGACACTCGATAATTCGACACTTTCGATAATTCGACCATTTTAAAAATCAAATTTACAAGGTTGATTGTTGTTTAAATACAACTTTGCTTTTGCATGCATAAACACAGGCTCTTGTAGCAAGAACCCAAATATTATTTATAGTCATAGCAAAAGCCAACTTTAGTGAAAACTGATGCCTCTTCAGAATGAATGGAAGACTGAAATCTGAAGGAGCAGAAGATATGGGTCATCTTTACATGTATGCTATCCAATGTTCGCACACTTGAAAAAGCCACATATAAAGTTGTCCGTGCGTAAACACAGGCTCTTGTAGCCAAGGTTTGGCCTTGAGCCTTATTTATAGTCATAGCAAAAGCCAACCTTAGTGAAAACTAACGCCTCTCTAGAATGAAGCGAAGGTTGGTATCCGAAGGGGCCAAAGATATTTCAGACACTATACAGTGTATTCAACTTTGGGCACTGTCAGTATATGTGCTTCAAGGACATGAGAGCACATGCGCTGAAACACCATACGTGTTCCATCGCAAAGATCCTAAAGGCATTGGTGAAAGTATAAATAAATATTTTGGAAATGAAAAAAAAAAATACATATATATATAAGAAAATAAATTGGAATAAAAATTTACAAACTATATTTCAGAGTGGATACATATTTGAAAGGGAAAAAAAGAAAATTGCAAACAACAAAACTATATTACAAATATGACATGAAAACTAACGCCTCTCTAGAATGAAGCGAAGGTTGGTATCCGAAGGGGCCAAAGATATTTCAGACACTATACAGTGTGTTCAACTTTGGGCACTGTCAGTATATGTGCTTCAAGGACATGAGAGCACATGCGCTGAAACACCATACGCGTTCCATCGCAAAGATCCTAAAGGCATTGGTGAAAGTATAAATGACCCATATCTTCTGCTCCTTCAGATTTCAGTCCTCCATTCATTCTGAAGAGGCATCAGTTTTCACTAAAGTTGGCTTTTGTTATGACTATAAATAATATTTGGGTTCTTGCTACAAGAGCCTGTGTTTATGCATGCAAAAGCAAAGTTGTATTTAAACAACAATCAACCTTGTAAATTTGATTTTTAAAATGGTCGAATTATCGAAAGTGTCGAATTATCGAAAGTGTCGAATTATCGAGTGTCGAATTACAGTTGGTTTATGTATTTTTTAATAAGGTCCTCTTATCTTATCTGCAATATAGTTGTATTTTTCGAAATTTTATTTTCTAATTTGTTAATTTCTTTCTTTTTTTTTTCACTCTAATAATATTTATTTAAATCTAATAATTTTTATTTAATGCAATTTAATTAATAATTTATTTAATCCAATGTCTATAGTTTCTTCCCTGAAATTGCTTACCAAACATGAGTCAGTGTTTCCACAGTGTTAACAGTTGGAGTGTTAGAATGCGGAGAAGCAAAATAACTCCCTACTGAATTTCTCAATAGTCTCACTCCCAGAGGAATGCATCCACACCAGTTAACCTCTAGGTTGGTACTATTGTTATGCTTCTGAGAAGTTTTAATCCTAAGCAGGGTCTTTGAAAATGGTACACGTATGGTGATACAGTGCATGTGCTCTCATGTCCTTAAAGTAGTGTAGTTCTGTTGTTTGCAATTTCATTTTCTGATTTGTTAAAATTTTTCTTCTATAGTTTCTCACCTGCGGGTCCTTCGGGTAAACCCGGGGCGTTGCCCGGGTCACTCGGCTAGTATGTATATAAAAAAGCAAAGCCCAATTCTAAACCCAAATATTTTTTTTATGAGAAGAACATCAACATATTGCATGATTACGGCAGTCCATAGCTTCCCTGACAAAAATTCACCAAGAAAGTTAAATATTCCAAAATTTTTCTGTGTTTAAATTGCTAAATATGTAAAAAACATGTATACAAAAAAGCAAAGCCCAATTCCAAACCCAAATATTTTTTTTATGAGAAGAACATCAACATAATGCATGATTACGGCAGTCCATAGCTTCCCTGACAAAAATTCACCAAAAAAGTTAAATATTCCAAAAATATTTCTGTGTATATATTGCTAAATGTGTAAATAACATGTATATAAAAAAGCAAAGCTTAATTTTAAATTTCATTATCCTTTCCACAGGAAAAGCATCAAAATACTGCATAAGTACGGCACTTTTGCAGCCGCATGATTACGGCAGTCCATAGCTTCCCTGACAAAAATTCACCAAGAAAGTTAAATATTCCAAAATTTTTCTGTGTGTAAATTGCTAAATATGTAAAAAACATGTATACAAAAAAGCAAAGCCCAATTCCAAACCCAAATATTTTTTTTATGAGAAGAACATCAACATAATGCATGATTACGGCAGTCCATAGCTTCCCTGACAAAAATTCACCAAAAAAGTTAAATATTCCAAAAATATTTCTGTGTATATATTGCTAAATGTGTAAATAACATGTATATAAAAAAGCAAAGCTTAATTTTAAATTTCATTATCCTTTCCACAGGAAAAGCATCAAAATACTGCATAAGTACGGCACTTTTGCAGCCGCATGATTACGGCAGTCCATAGCTTCCCTGACAAAAATTCACCAAGAAAGTTAAATATTCCAAAATTTTTCTGTGTGTAAATTGCTAAATATGTAAAAAACATGTATACAAAAAAGCAAAGCCCAATTCCAAACCCAAATATTTTTTTTATGAGAAGAACATCAACATAATGCATGATTACGGCAGTCCATAGCTTCCCTGACAAAAATTCACCAAAAAAGTTAAATATTCCAAAAATATTTCTGTGTATATATTGCTAAATGTGTAAATAACATGTATATAAAAAAGCAAAGCTTAATTTTAAATTTCATTATCCTTTCCACAGGAAAAGCATCAAAATACTGCATAAGTACGGCACTTTTGCAGCCGCATGATTACGGCAGTCCATAGCTTCCCTGACAAAAATTCACCAAGAAAGTTAAATATTCCAAAATTTTTCTGTGTGTAAATTGCTAAATATGTAAAAAATTAATTCTAAGTTTTAATATAAAGAAGAAATAAGACACAAAAATGGAGCTAAATTTAAATTAAAAACTATAACAAATTAATAAAAAAAAATAAGACCTAATCCAAATGCCACCATCATCAGACAAAAGAAAAAATGAGATTTTATTCTTTAATTCATTTATTCTTCTGTCTGATGCTGTTGCTGAAACGTCACACACTATTAAATTATTTGGATTAGGTCTTATTAATAAGAAAAAAAAAAGATGCCAAAGAGAGATGAAAAGATGCCAAAAAAGATAACCAGATACAAAAATTGTGCTAAATTCAAATGAAAAACTAAAACAAACACTTATAAAAGATAATTATTATAGAATAAAAGTAATAATTCAATCTACAATTCGAAAAATTTATATATTTAAATGAAAAACTATAACAAAGTACTTACATAATCAAATGAATCAGAAATATATATTATTTCAAAACACATTCTTACGCATTTCAAAACAAATGAATTGATGATGATAAATGCAAAAAATCTACGATTGTAAAATAGATTAATTTAAAAAATAAAAATAACTGTTAACATTAGGAAAATAAAAACAGGCCTATCATACGAAGAAAAAAATAACGAAAATTTTGGTATATAGATTGTTATGTGTAGTTCAGAATCTTCGGAGGAGATAGCTCAGGACTTTACAATGGAAAACTCTGTTACGGTATTATCTATATAGATAATAATAATAATAATTATTATTATTATTATTATTATTATATTATTATTATTATTAACATATATAGTCACGACCGTCATGGGCCAGTTATGTCACGGATGCGCGCGCACAGGGAGGTCACGTGCTCGCCGGCAGCCAACGAGGGCGCGCCGCCGGCATTACGTCATAGATTATAAACACAAGGTAATAAGGCAAAATAAAAAAATAGTGTGTGATAAGGCGCAATTTGGATTATCTACTTATATAATTGCCTTATTCTGTCTGTGTGAAGTTCACTGTGTGAAGTTCACGGATAGATTTTGATCAGAATGGATAAAATAAAAAAAATTTCAAGGGATGGGAATCGAACCCACGACCTTCCGCTTACCGGGCAGATGCCATGACCACTAGGCTACCCTGGACATATTTTTCCGTTCACATTTTTATTTTTATATTTAAAGACACACACAGTTTGGGGCGGGACGTTTCACAAAAGAGAGATCCACGGCGCCAATTCATAATTGTAACGAATAATATTTTAATTAAAACATTTTTAAAATATATACGCACTCGGGTAAAACCCGGGCGTTGCCCGGGCCATTCGTCTAGTTATATATATAGTCACGACCGTCATGGGCCGGCCGGTTCTGTCACGGATGCGCGCGCACAGGGAGGTCACGTGCTCGCCGGCAGCCAACGGGCGCGCGCCGCCGGCATTACGTCATAGATTATAAACACAAGGTAATACGGCCAAATAAAAAAATGTGTGTGATAAGGCACAATTTGGATTATCTACTTATATAATTGCCTTATTCTCTCTGTGGGAAGTTCACTGTGTGAAGTTCACGGATAGATTTTGGTCAGAATGGATAAAATAAAAAAAGTGTCAAGGGATGGGAATCGAACCCACGACATTCGCTTACCGGGCAGATGCCATGACCACTAGGCTACCCTGGACATATTTTTCCATTTACATTTTTATTTTTATATTTTCAAGACACACACAGTTTGGGGCGGGACGTTTCACAAGAGAGACATCCACGGCGCCAATTTATAATTGTAACGAATAGTATTTTAATTAAAACATTTTTAAAATATATACGCACTCGGGTAAAACCCGGGCGTTGCCCGGGCCATTCGTCTAGTATATATATAAACATTAGAGAATAAATATTTTATCTATCATAATATGATTTCCAGACTATATTATTCTGAATAAGAATTTCCTATATATATAACTCCAAATATAACGAGGGTAAAGACTATACTTCCCTAGATAGAGGTAGAACAAGCTATAAGAAAGTTAAACAAATGGTGTTTCTATAAAAAGAATCTCTACAAAAGAGATGTGTCCTCTATTGATTATTGGATATAGTTTCTGACTATAGCTGTTCCATCGATTGGTTGGTTGTAACAGAATTGGGATGGGTTATTTATCATAGTTGAACGCTCTTCTTGGGAACATACTCTTTCAAAATCAAAACAACCAAAATACTCTGATAGAATAAAAATATTTCAAACCGAGTGAATGTCAAGAATAAAAAAGGGGACTCGGTGACAATAGCAATTTGTTCACCATAAAGTCTGAATTCTAGGCTGCTGTGTGTAACAGATTTTCCAGATGGAAAGCCGTGACTTCCCTGTGTTCGACATCTACTAACAGCGTTGTTGCAGGATCTAGCTAGTGACTAGACAGTACTGGGATAGCGGGTCGGTGTTTAGTGCTTACACCCCTGTGGTGGCCACTGCGACGATTAGCCGCCCTAGACAATCCCGCTTTGGTCATTGGTCATTCCACGCTGGGAGGGGGATGGGGACCCTACTATTAATACTTTAACCCTGAGTATTCACATAGCGTGGACTGGCACTCAACTTCCCCTCCGATAGCTTGCTCGCTCCACAGACCCAGGACTAGGCACTGATTACTAGACTGTTGGCTCTGGCGCAAAACTCCGATGGGAGGCCTTGCGTGTTGACGTAAGTCCGGCTTTCAGCGTTGTCGGTGTCCAGCAGTGCTGTCTTCAGTCTCTAGTCCGCTCCATTCCACTTTGTTGTCAATAGTGAACTCTACAGCGAGCTGTCGAAATTGGGAAGTTGGGGTCAGGGGTGTAGCAACACATGACGGTGTGAGATAGTATAGTCTACCTCTAACCCCCTCTGTGTTACGTATCTAGATATCACGTGGAGCCCTCACCGAGTCTAGTTAACATTTAGGTAAATGTCTTTCTTTAAGCTTCCTCCTTAGGTCACCGAGTCCCTTCTTTAAAACTTGCTATTCATGCGGTGTTAGCTATTATTTTAGAGTGTGTCATAATTCAATAACCCTCTTTCCATCTATTGTAGATATCTTTCCAAATCCTGTAAGATAAATTTGAAGTTTAAAAATAACGATGAAGCAAAACTTAAACACAGGAGTCAGTTACTTTAAATGTTCTGATTCTTCTCAACTTTTGTGGTGCTCCAACTAGTGCTTTGTATGCCGGAAAGGTATCGCCGGTAAGAAATCAATATGTTTATAAAAATATAAATGAATTCCAATAATCGAATTTAAATATTCGAAATAATTTATTGCCATCGTCATTAAACAAATGCGTATATCTTTATTTAAGAACAGCTTAATAGCATTGTCCTCGTAAAGAGAAAGTAGGAAAAAGTAGTATATATATATATGGCTCAACGGTTAACATATAATTTTTCAATAAGATTTCAATATAAATAAAAATATATAGAGATAACTCTTAAATTGGGAATAAATTCAATTAAACGTTTTCAGAGGAAAACACTTTTATTTTAAATGGATCTAAAAAGAAATACAGCCGTTTTAAACTACAACTATTAAACATTTATATATATATGAATAAAGAATTTGTATTTTTTCTATTTCATAAAGGAATTCTATCTGTTATGTAAATAGATATGTAAATAAACGATCACCTGTAAATAACTAACTCATCTTTCTAAGCAATTATGTACCTGGGTGAATCCTGTGTAGGACATAGGTCCCCAATAAAAGGATTTCTGCTGTTGAAATTCGATCCGTTATGACGATGCATAAAAGAAAACTTCGACATCGCCGCGGTAGCAAGCAGGGTCAGTTTGACCACATCTATTCATCCCAAGAATAGCTGAAGGGAGTGGATAGATCAGTCAAGAAGGGAGAAGCCATCTGTTCCCAGCAGTTAAGTGGTGCTCCCTGTTGTTGACGACGGCTGTTGTAAGATTATTTCTGGATGTTTCTTTCCTTGTTATCCATAATGCACGAAGGTAAATAAAGATGAGTCGAACAGAGATCCTTACTGATCCCGCGGTGCTATTTGGCCATTCTTGACACAGTGGCAGCGTAACCGATCTTAATTGTAATTAGCAAGTTTTTGGTTTCACTTTTTCATCTATTAAATCAATATATTACTCGTAAGTTTTACCCCCCTTCAGTCATATAAATCGAACGATTTAACGGTGAGAGCTGAAAGGGCGCTTTTAATGAATTTTATATATTATTGCAGAGAATCGAGTCGATGACAAAGCCACAATACCTGCTTTGACAAACGTCCATCTGAAGACTATGGTTTCGGCTAATGGCCCTCTCAGTCCAGGGAGGAGTTTGGTTTTGTGAGATTCGCAGGAAGCGAACACTTCCCGGAGCAGAGGTCGCACGGCTCGGCAACTCCAATATCTGTGGGTAGCGACCCGGCGCTGGACCCACAGGCGGCACAGTTGGCACGCCTCGAGGCAGGATGGGGTAGGGCGTGGAGGACCAGCCGTAGGGCGACATCTGCGTCGTGCCCCGAGAAGCAGTTCCTATGCAGGTCGGCCCAGGGGATGGAGCGGGGCACATCCACGGAGGGGGGGGGTCCACCGGGGAGCCAGCTCTGCAGTAGGATGCGCCTGGGGCCGTGCCGAGTCCAATGCCCGGCGGGCCCTCTGGCTGGTAAGGCGGGTAATGGGGGTCGCCGATCCCCACAGGACGATGATCTCCGCCTCGTACTCCGCATGATTGATGGAGCTGGCGTTTTCCCCGTTGGAGACGTTGGCAGAAGGCCCCCAGATGCTGCACGTCCAGGAGCGCGGCCCGCGTTGAGCGTGCTAGGGCAGGGGCGCCATCGGAGAAGTCCCCAACAGTCGCCTGTAGCCAGCAGGTCTGGCGGCCGCAGGAATCTGTTGTCGTCTCGAAGGCGCAGGGACCTCAGGATGGCGAGATGCAGAACCCTGCCGACGCCACCATCGGAGACTGGACGAACCAGTGGGCCCGGGGAGCCACGAGACTCGGCTTGTACCCCACAAAAAGCGCGCCAACCGCGCCTGCAGCCGGCCGACGGTAGTTTCAGGTGGAAGGTAGCCGTGGAGGTGGTGCAGGATGGAACCCAAGACCAGGCTGTTGGCCGCGCGAGCACGACCCACCAGCAACAGGCCGCGGGTGAAGGGTGACCACCTCGCGATGGTTCGCTCCAGCAGCCCCATCAGGTGGTAAGCCTCGGAGGTGACGATGTTCCTGGTGGTGATGGTACAGCCCAGGACGGTCAGCGACTCGGACGTCCAAGAGATTCCCAGAGGAGAATCCGTCCGGTGCTTCCAGAAACCGCACCAGAGCCCGCAGCTCTTCGTGAAGTTGACAGCCACCCCGGAGGACATGCGGAACTCGTCGAAGATCAGGGGCACGAGCTCAAACTGAAGGAAATATTTAACTAAAGAAATATATATGTTGAAGAGTTCTTAAATATATTTATATGGTGGTCTCTCTTGAGAGACTCTACTGTATTTTCATATTTATATATAAAGAGAGCCACCATCTATACCCTGATTTTTATATAAAGGGCCTTTACCTTAACCATTTCTATATACATTTTATAATATCGATTTTATATTTCCTACATGCTTATTCACGGAGACAATGCAAATATTTAAGACTTCTTATTAAGGCCTAATTCTCAAATAATATTAGTACGGTATAAAAGAGAGAATGGGGCTGACAAGGACTAGAATCATTCGCTGAACGGAACAATGTTCTATTTTAAATAAAGGAACATATATATAGCCACATTCCAGACTTTGAACAAACATCAATAATACACCAAGATATAACAGAAAAGCACAGCAGGCTATTCTTGGAGAGTTGGAGTTCTTTGGAAGACAGAAATAGCATAAACCGAAAGATCGATATACCGGACATGTACACACAATTTAGATGCTCCTAGAATAGGAACCTCTATGTATATATGAACTTCAGTGAAATGTCTTCATTCATAATGCAATAGCCGAATATTTATTTTCTATATATAGATATTTACTTTTCACTCTATTTATTCATTTATTTTAATTAGTATTGTACGATATTTATTTGTATACATTACATTTTAAAACGAAAATTGCAATTATACCGCGAATGTTTCTTTTAAACAAAAATCGAAATTTATTTTAAAGAGAAATGACGACTATTTCTAACTTTAAGGATGAAGTATGAAAGGGTGAAAATATGAAGAGTAATGGCGAACGGAAAAATAAAAGTGTCCAGGGGCGGGAATCGAACCCACGACCTTCCGCTTACCGTGCAGATGCCATGTCCACTAGGCTACCCTGGACATATTTTTCCGTTCGTAAATAATATATAAAGTAATTTAAAATACAATATAACGCGGCTGATGATTGTAAAACGAAAATTGCAATTATACCTTACATTACATTTTCATTTGGATGATTTTCGCCCGAAGAGATTGTGAGACGCCCGTGTCTCAAGTGTAATGCGCGGCTTGCCGCGAGAGGGGATGAGATCCTTGAAAAAGATGGCCGTTTAGCCCATTGAAATATCGGAAATAAAAGATTATTTATTGAATCCAAGATGTGCCCTTTATGAACATATATGTGTTTGTGGTTGAAAAGTTAATAAATATAGTTTTTAGAATAGATTTTAAATGGTTGTTTTAATAAAAGTGCAAAGGTCGATATTAAGAACCAATATTAGCC